ATAAGGCAAGAAGTAGGACCCGTGTAAATATCGGATCAGCTTTCCAGCGCTGGAGAGAACTCAAGGAGCGGAAGGCCTGCGATCGGACGCCGAGGTTGATTTGTTTCTTCTCGATAGGTGAGTAACACCGTGTCTGCGTCGCAACAGCTAAAGTCTGTCTAGTACACTGGACGCGACAAAGCAACCGTTGAAAATCATTTGAAATTTGTGTCATGAATAGAATGCAGCAGCAGTTTTCTGTCGGGAATTTGTCGTGTCGTGTCGTGCCACGCCACATCCAATGTAGACCATAGATATGTATATATATCTATGGTGTAGACAGCATCACTGATTATAATGAGTTCCATAGTATTTTGTCGCGCTGCGCATCACTCGCGTCCGGTGTAGAAACGGTGTAACATTGGTTTTGCTTTGTTTCACAGAACTATTCGTTGCCTGGGTTGTAGGGCTATGCCGGTATCAAATTTTCATGTTGCGATTAATTGCTAATGCTTTTATTACGGTATACGGTATTATCACAGTATTGAAATTAAGTAAAAAAAAAGTGCTGTCATAATACAGTATAACAGGTTTAATAACTTTTTTCTTATAACAAAAATAACTGAACATTTAAATACAATAAAACAATACACAATTTTTTTTTTTAAATGTTTAATTAAAGTGCAAAAGAATTATAAAGACAGGGATCACTTTACAATAAGATCTCATTAGTTAACCTTAGTTAATGCATTAACATTCACAATGAGCAATAGCTACATTTGCTACAGGAAGTTATTAATCTTTGTTAAAAAAAATACAACTCTTAGTGCATGTTAGCTCATTAAATAACACAGTTGCAACTTTTGATTTTAACAACGTGTTATTAAATATTGGAATTACATAAAATTAATTAATGTTTAGATAAATTTTTCATTGGCAGTTTATTATCTAATGAATTAACTAATGTTAACTAATGAAGCTCTAATGTAAAGTGTGACCGAACAATAAAGAATCAAAACAATTTCAAACAATATCTAGGGCATGTTGTAGCCCAGATTAAAATGTAAAAAAGTTTGAAAATAAATAGCCTATTAAGTCTAAATATTTAAGTATTTGGTGCTGTGATGAACACTATTGTGAATACAAACATCTGAATGACTATTTTATTCATTTAAACACATTTTAGAAACAGAAAGTAGCGCAGCTGCTTTATTTACAGGGTTTCCGGGGTTACGGCTGCATTTCTGCTGTTCAGCGCCATCTGCTGTCAGAGAGTGAATGTGGGCTTTATCCAGAGCGTCTCTCTCGCGCTCCGCCATGTGCTTCTCATCCGTGCTTGCTTACATCAGAGTGCACACGCGTCTTTGACGCAGCAGACAGCGGGGTTGTGCATTGTGACCAGTTGATGGTAAAATTATTCTTAAAATGCATTCAAAATTCTGAATAATTTGTTATAAATAATTATTCTCTGTATTTTGAAGGGCCCACGAACATTATCGTGCATGTTCATTATCGTGATATATCGCATAACTGAATACTGCCACTTGTATAATCATCATAAATGACAGGAACAAATAAACAAACACGAAACTCCGTTGCTGCCCCGGAAAAACAAACTGCATCCACTGTTCACACTGGGTCCTTTGGGAAGCTGAGCAAGCTTATCTTTCCCTTACAACCAAAACACACTTCTTTGGAGACATTCTTCTTGAGTGAGTCTTGTGCAGCGCTGCCGTGCTCTTGCTCTCGCTCTGGGCTGTGTTTTCCAAAAGCATCATAAGCCTAAGTTGATCGTAGCTCCATTGGTTTCAATGGGTCTATGATGTACTTAAGCTTACGATGCTTTTGGGAAACGCAGTCCCAGCGCATGCTCTTCTGGGAGAAGTTCCCATACAAACAATTCTGCCTTTTATGATGAGCCATCAGTCATGAAGAGCCATGCTCAGAAAAACTTTCCGAAACTTATATGAACCCAGAAAGAGTGTATTTGGCACAGAAATACTCCGTCATACGTCCAAATCGTTGGCCAACTTTGGCCATGTTAAGCATAAGAAGCCAAATCCAAACTGCATTAGACCCCCTTTAACCCCTGGGTTATCAATGTTTTAAACCCTGTGGTTAGGGGAAAATGCAAACATGTCAAAATGCCTTGTTAATTGGAGTGAAGAACAGTCAAGGAATTTTCTGTATCACACAGCAGAGCATGTAAACCTTTCAAAGTATGCTACATTGGTCGTGATTTGACTTTTTATGTGCGCTTCCTAATAGAAGCTTCTATTTGAGCTTTTAATCACACACACATGAAGCAGAATGTGGATGAGCAAAGTATACTTAGGCTTTGGGTTTCTAAATAAACTTGTCTTGCTAATTTCATTACAAACTGGATAGTACAGTCAGGAACTGTACCCCCCCCCCCCCCCCCCCCCCCCCGGGGGGGGTGGTTTTTTCTTTCCCAACAACACCCCCTCTCC